ATAGATAGATAGATAGATAGATAGATAGATAGATAGATAGATAGATAGATAGATAGATAGATAGATAGATAGATAGATAGATAGATAGATGGATATCATTTCAATAGTAAATCTCATTCTATGAAAACGTATCTCCCTGAAAGTAGTGTTCCTTGAAATATAGTTTACCTCATTTGGTGAAGTACCTTCTAAGATGATAAAATGTCTTTTTTTTTTAAGTGTGCCTCTTTTTTTTCGTGTTCTACCTATAAGAGTGATGGAGTTCCGTGGATGATCTGCCGCTTTGTTGATGTATCTTGTTTCTTAAGATCTTCAAATAAGAGGTTTCTTCGTACACTGAGATACCACCTATAAATTAAAGGTGGTTTTTTTTCCCTTCTCTTGTGAGTCTCAACAAGGGTATACCTCCTGTATGTATGTGGTTCTTATATTGCAGAAAGTTTTCAGGTGATGTATACTGGCGTTTATAGTGTAGCGGTTAAGCACTTCGAAGTTGCACACATAAGACCTGACTTTGATTCTCGTGTGGTGAGGATCTTATCGAGTATCTCGGTCTTTCTTTTAGGACGTTTGATTCCTCTCAGTCCAGGTTGGCCCTGACAGACAAGGTCAAATCTCGTCTCCAAAATGATCTAAACTGTGTTGTAGGAAGCGTAAAACACCTATAGAAATCTGAAGTTCCCCTATGGATACCTTCTAAAGTGGTTTGCTTTTTATAAGTGTTTACCTCCTACTGAGCAATTTCATATATTTGTGAACTCCCCGTTTGTCGGGGGTCAAGGACGTACGGGGATCATCAGTGGTAGATTTGTTTTTGGACCAATTTCAACAAACTATTGAAGAAATAAAATTCAACCTTGGGGACGTTACATTTATCAATATGGAAAAAAATATCCAGGTGTTAACCTTTTTTTCCATAAAAGTTTCAATAAGCCACTGGAAATTTTGAATAACCCCATGGCATGTTTCTGGGCCGATTGTCTAGACGTTGAGTTTCCACTGCTCGATGGCTTGCGGCTTGTTTCCGAGGACCTGTCTGTCACAAAAGCACCAACGGCAATAAATGAAAGGGCTTAAGTAGGGAGGTTGGGGGGGGGACAATTCATTTGAAAACTTTCGGTATATAGGGCGTTTCTCAAATCTTTCATGTAACCATACAAGTGACACTCCTTGGCGGGTGGCGTGCGTCCCCGTCCGTCTGGAATCAGGCCTCTACATTCTCCTCCCCAAACTTTTCCTAAACTTTCTCAGGTGGGTGAAAAATCCTTCTGATGTTACTGTCGTGGTTTTAACCTCCTTGTCCGGAAACTAGAACAGGCTGATCACGCTCTTGTAGCTAAATGCTGTTAAGTAAAATTTGCTTTGATATTTCTCGTTGATTTTTTTTTCATATTTACAAACTTAAAGTTCCCCTGGTTGATTTTTATTCGTTCGAAGTTTTGTTGAAATTAGTGCAGAGATGTCAGAGTAACTGTGTTTTTAGTGGGTCCTCTCTTTTTAGACATCCTGTTGGCTATATCGTGTGATTACCTAACGCTTAAATGTTATTGTGATTAAATTAGAACTTCTGAGTTATGGTAATTTTCACCTTGATTTCGCAACAACCCTCGTGGATAATAAAAGAAGGAAACTTAATCCCACTTGCAATGAAATTTAATGTTGCTGGAGACATTCATATTAGGTTGTAACCAGTCTGGCGACAGACAGGAAAAGTGAGAAATGAAGGTAATTCAGATTTAGAAAGGATATCCCAGCAAGGTGTAAAATTGCAGTAGGGAAATAAGAAGTAATTTAAGTCGTTTAGTGATGGGGGTTTGTAATGCTGTCTAAGTGAAAAGAGTTGAAACAGAACAGTGTCAAGGAAAAGTACATTTTTCTCACTGTTTCAAGATTCATTGGTTGCTATTTTGTTATTCTACTTGATTTCGTTTAAGACGACACCTGTAAACCCTCGTTCAGTAAGAAAGAAGAAGAGAAAAAGAACGGAAACCAAACTTAAGTAAGATAATTTTTTAAAGAATGTATCAAGGATAAGGGGAGGGTATCAGATTCATGGTACTCTTATTTTTTTTAAAACTAAAATGTTTTAGGTATGTGGGAAATGGGGAGGGCAGCTAAGTATTACTTTATGAGTGTATTGTTCCTTGTCCATACATTTTCCTTTTTTTTTTCGTTGTTTCCACTTCATCCCCAAACCACCCTTGGTCTCTCTCTCTCTCTCTCTCTCTCTCTCTCTCTCTCTCTCTCTCTCTCTCTCTCTCTCTCTCTCTCTCGCTCTCTCTTTTATTCCCTCGCAATGTCTATTAATCGTCATGACACAAATAAGAAATCAACTTGCAGTGACGTTCTTTTAATCAGCAACACATTTACAACTCAACACTCTTCATACGTCATCATAATAATAATATCATCATTGTTGTCAACTAGTATTATGATACACAAAGAGCATGCTCGAAATGAGTATTTCGGCAACTAGTTCTTGACAGAGTAACAACGCCAATCACCACCCCCCCCCCTTCCCCCCTCCTCCCTCCTCTGCCCCTTAATACCTCCTGACAAAGCACTGAAAAGATAAACATTTGGCATAATATAACACACAAAAATATTGACTAAGATCAAAACTGTACAGTCACTTTTGTACTTTGCGTAACCACCTGAAACAAAGCAGCACAAATATTTTGGATTTCACATTTTATCACACACGCATATCAACTGTTTTCTTTCACCTGCAAGGAAAAACCCTACTTATAATAAATCCATGGCTACAGTAAAACTGTGTGTCTCTATAACCTGCGCGGATTTTTCAATAATAAGATCTTTACATATGATAAATTAGTTCTCTAGACATGCACCCTACGCTCACTTAAAATGGACAGTCATTTATTAACTAAAATTTGGAACGTAATATACCACTCTATATCATAAATGTAAGAGTGGTGACGCCTATCTGTTATGTATGAACTGGTGTGCGAGCGTGTTAATGTATGGTTGCATGTGCGTGTGTGTATGTGAGTGTATGCTTATGTGTGTGTGGATGTGTGGGTGTGTATTTGTTTATGTGTATGCATGTGAGTCCCAAGCAAGTTTGAGTGCTAGTGGGATTGTGAATGCGGGTGCGAGTGGGTATGAGTATTTTTTAATAAATATATTAAGTGAGTATTAACACGTGAATGTATATATATCCGCGCGTGTGTGTGTGCGGTTGAGTGTGTTCGTGTATATGGGAGAGTGTGTGTGTGTGTGTCTGTGTGTGTGAAAGAGAGAGAGAGAGAGAGAGAGAGAGAGAGAGAGAGAGAGTGAATGAGTGAGTGAGTGTGTGTGTGTGTGTGTTTGTGTGTGTGTGTGTGTTTGTGTGTGTGTGTGTGTGTGTGTGTGTGTGTGTGTGTGTGTGTGTGTGTGTGTGTGTGTGTGTGTGTGTGCGAGGATCGGTGCGCGGGCGTGAATGTGTGTAACAGCACCAGATAAAAAAGTTTCTAGTTTTGAAAAATTTGGTCAAAAAAGAGGAGAGAATAGAAATATTGATTTCCTTCAAATTTTGAATTCCGCGGTATAATCAGCTGAAGTATACATTACAGAATCACATTTCTCTCGGTTGAGAAAAGTCTACTAATGGCCTGGTAGCGTCTGGTAAGTCATTAAATTCAGGCCATTCCAAAACACATTGGCATGTTCTTTTTTCATTGTTTATTATAACATCCATTATTCACACAGGCTAAAGTCAACATAATCTAGTTGGTAGACAATACAAGCGACACATAAAGGTTTGATTAACCACAATGCACAGAACAAAACGGCTATAGTAGACGAGTGAAGTCACAAGTCTCACAAGTTGACAGATATGTCATTTTAGCTGACTGTGTTAATGGAGACAGATAGATAGATAGATAGATAGATAGATAGATAGATAGATAGATAGATAGATAGAGAGATAGATAGATAGATAGATAGATAGAGAGATAGATGGATAGAGAGATAGATAGATAGATAGATAAATATATGGGGAAAGAAGGAGAAAGAAACACACACACATGTATGTTCGTATGCTATATATGTCTCCATATATATGCATGTGTGTGTGTGGGGGGGGGGGGGAGAGAGAGAGAGAGGGAAGAGACCGACAGACAGACAGACAGACAGACAGACAGACAGACAGACAGACAGACAGACAGACAGACAGACAGACAGACAGACAGACAGACAGACAGACAGATTGACAGACAGACAGGCAGGCAGGCAGGCAGGCAGGCAGGCAGGCAGGCAGACAAAAAGGGAGACATCTATGCATGGTAAAATACAAACTATATCACAAATCTTTGAAGGAACATATCTATTCCTTCCACCTAAGAGGAAGTCAATGGAAGTCGCAATAAAGAAATACATAAACATAATAGTTATTATGTACAGGCAAAAGACAAAATTTAGCAAGGTTGTGGTACATTTAGTCTATAACTTGATATGTCACTGCAAAAGAGTCGCGGCATTAGATTTGTGCTCACTTAACCATCTCTTAACGATATTGATTTTCTTTAAACGAATGGTTGTATTATAGTCCGCTCTAAAACCTTGGCAGTGAGTCTTTGTAGGATTCCTCAAACCCTGGAAAACGCTTGATCCCTGAATAAGTATAAACCAGGATTTAGATTATCCATAACACGGAATTACAGTCTCAATTCCTTTCCCCCTATTCTAAATCTGTTGTCTTCCCATTCGTCTTATAATTTGCCGTTAAAAAAGTAAATTTATGCCACACAATATACTAACGTTGCTCGTGCGAATTATTCATTGAGTACAATAAGTCATTGCCTTCAACTAGGAGGCCATGAGTAATCTCACAGTTGGAAGAAAAGAAACGAGTCTGAGCAAGAAAAACGTCAACCTGAAATGTGTATGAATTTATAAATCACGTAGACCTACAAAAAGGTTGGCACATCTACTGAAGCCACCAAGGGAATATTGCTTTGAGACATGCCGAACGAGTATCTAGATTTGCTCTGCATCCATGTTGGGATTGTTTGTGTGTTCTGTCTGCGGTAAAAACGCTGGCCATGAAGGTGACTTTGCGAACAACGGCCTGTTAGCTTTTCAAATCTCCTTGAATTTCACCTGCATGGTCCAAAGGTGTTGTTTATTACATGGTGGAACGCTACTTTGAGTGACAACAAACTGTGATGCAAGCACGGACCAATGTGCTGGGAGAAGGGGGGGGGGGTCAGAACGCTAGAAAAATGTTTTAATTTTCCTGAATTGAGTCACTTCTCTTGTCGGATAATAGTCTATATGAAGAGAGATCCCGAACCTCATACAGATTTAGAGTAAGCAAAGAAAGTTCTTTAGGCATTCAGTCGAAATACATGACAAAAAAGTTCCCCTCGTTGAGATGAAAAAAAATGTAGTCAGAACGATCATAATATCTTCTAAGTGCACTGTGTCCAGCTTATTAAGCTTCTGAAATCTAAAGTTATCTAACTAGAACCATTGCTTTACACTATACGTTTATTTCCCTCAGTACATGAACACATCATTTTATATAACACGAACACAAATTGAAAAAAGCATTATCTGTACACAGTGGCACAGCCATACAACACCCGTCAAAATACACGCACCTTTTTAAAAGACACGTGTAGGTTCTTGTATCGACAACGAAAAGAACCAATAAGACAAAAGAGAATGACAGCTTGCACTTCTCATCTGTAAGAATAATATATCCTTTGAAATAAAAGCAACAAATAACAGCCATTCCGTTTTTTTTCAATAACGAAAACAGCCTAATAGTACAACAGAACAACTCCCGTATTAAAAAACTCCGACCGCCACACCATGACAAGCAAGAGTGGACAGTACACTTTGTTCCTTTGGTCAGCCAGCCTTCAATATACCTACGGACCAGCACTCGCTCCAACTTGCCGAATATCACAGTTTGTTGCTCGATCTTCTCGCGGCTGCCCGCTCACGGACAGTCTGGGACTTTGCAGACAAATTTTCCCTTGTCTTCACTTTTCTGTAGACAAAAAAAAAAGACAGAAACGTGAGAAATTCTACAAAATCGTAGTTTAAAAATAATGTTCTTCTTTTGGAGGCGTAAGGTAATGACTCTAATTAGATTTTTCTAATTTCACAGACTTTTATAACCCTACAGTATATATTATAGCTTATTATTTGTTTGTTTTGTTTTTGTAAAGTGTTTTACGGTGCTCGCAACTGCATAAGGTCATATGAGCGCGCGGGACACACCTAATATTTTCAGTTGATAAGAAATTATTTTGAATTTTGCCCGGGTGGCGGCCGAAGCCTACTCTTATCGATTTTAGACCACCATGGGATCTTTAACGAGCGCAACTTGCACACGGGCCCTCCGAGATTTTTTGCCCTTGTCCGAGAAGGCTAGGTGTAGATCTTTCCTACCAGAAGATCAGGGGTGTGGCAGAAAGGCAGCAGTAAGGAGGAGCCAAGGAGTAGCAGTAGAAAGGCTGCAGAAAGAGTCAGGAGCCCAGAGGAGGGGGCAAAGGAGGTGAGGAGGTGGGGGCAGAAAGTGGAAATGAAAGCAGACAAAAAAATATTGCTAAAGAGCAGGAAAGAAGGTGAAAGGAGACAATTTTAGAGAAGAAAATGTTTCGGTCGCTACCCGGATTCGAACCTGGGACCTTTTGAATGAGAGGCCAACACCTTAACCTCTAGGTCACGAGAGCCCCCATTATGGTTTATTTCAGAGTCGCACGAGTACGAGGGCAGTTCTCGGCCCTGTTCCAGGCGCATCATTTGCTAAGTTACCACCAGGTTGGGATGTGGCGCATGCTTCTTGAACGGTCCTTGATTGTTCGGAAGTAGTGTTAAACCCATACCAGTGACTAAAGTGAAGGAAGAGGACTACGACGCATCGAAGTGAATGCCCCACACATAGAATCAGATGTATCCGATGCCAAACGTCCAGCAAAAATAAAAAAGAACGAATTGTAATAGCTAAACACAGTTTCAATAAAATGATTCCAATTCTGAAAAATAGAAACACCTCAGTGACTACCCAAAATAAGACTTTTAAGAGGGTAGTTAAAACAATGTAGAAGAGACAAAGGTACTCTCTGAGACATTTGAATCGACATAAAGGCCTTGACCATGTTGCTCTCACTGGGGGGAAAAAATTTACAAAATAAGGCAAACGAGACACGGGGGAGAGCGAGAGCAACTTATTTAGAGAACCTGAACTAAAAACATAGGCATTTTGAAAGTAACGAAGCAAAGAAATGAAGGCGGGCAATGATTACCGATATCTGTTTCAGATTCTGGCACGTCATGATAACAATGAATCAGAGGTCCGGAGTTCATTTGTGTTTCTCCACCTGTGCCCTTAGGGATCGAGTTAATTCTAAATAAAATTTGACCAGTAACACCAAGTAGGATCGACTTGCGGCTTTTAGATGTGAGGTTTTAGGGGCGTGCTAGTGAATCTTCATCATAATAATACATGAATAATATGTATTTTCAGTTGTTTCAAATCCTCAAAATTTGCAGCGATGCTCATTTCGGAATTCCAGCTGAAAATACGAAAACTGTCTTGGGTAAAAATTTAAAAGAAGAAGGAGGTGGGGAGCTCAACTCAACTCTGCCATTTCACGCCAACTAGTTTGCGTCAAAGGAATTAAGATAGCTAATTTGCCAATCTATTTTCCTAAGCTGGCTTACAAAACACATAATTTTTATCATTTATTTGTGTCATTTCGTCAGAGCCGGTTTTAGCTCAATGGTTGTGAAAATGAGGTCTAGAAAAGGAAAAGCGGCAGGAAATAAACGGGATAGGGCTTCATCAAAATGAAAACCCTTTAGTTCTATTGTGACTCAGAAATTAACTTCCGGGAGGACCTAGTGTTATTTCTTTTCTGCGCTGTTTCTTCTTTTCAGAAACACAAAGCTACACACACCTAATAAAGCAAGAGCAGTACCGTACCTCTCACAGCATTCGAAGTAGTTGCCAACATTACAGGGACATGATAGCCGGCCAAGGCGCTGGTAATCTTGCTTAGATTCACATTCTATCTGGAATTTTGTTTGTTTATAACATAACCGTTTGGGTAGTTGATTTTTGTGGTGTTATTCCTAGCTTTGTTTCAGTGATGCGTGCAAATTGATACACGGACATTTTGAAACAACATCTTCCTGTACATTTTCTGATGTGTCAGAACACTGAATTTTGGCTGCCATCATCTACTGAAAATATCTTTACCTAATTCGTTTGCGCTTACAAAAGCTGCGGTATGCACTACAGACCAAAAGAATCTATTTAAAAACGAATTGATCAAATAAAAAATGACTAATTGTGTGTTGCCTTATAACTGATATGCTCACAACAATACGTGAGTGGAAAATCGACTTTCATCTATTGTTGTTGTGATTGGTTGAGTTATTTTTAAAATGTATTTTTCTAGTCGTAATTAATTATGGTCCATATGTGTAAAACGGGGGTTGGATTCTTTTTTTCTTTTTTGCTCTGGGGGTGACAGAGAAAGCAAAAGAGAGAAAGAGAGGGGGAGACAGACAGACAGACAGACAGACAGACAGACAGACAGACAGACAGACAGAAAGACAGACAGAGAATTTTGAATTTACTGTTTTTCTTTTTCTGGGGTTAAGTTGTCGATTTCTTCACGGATAAGTGCCAACATTCTCCATGTTTATAGAGGGAAGTGGCAAGCGATGTCTCTCGAGGTAATGAAGCGATTCCATTTTGTAAACTCGCCCAGAGAGCACTGAGCACACGCGTAACTATCTACCGCCAAGCGACATTCTCTACGCTTTTTCGAACTGTTTCCCCCATTTTAAGAGCTTATTTTGAGTTCGTTTTATTTTGTTTATCCTCGCGCTAATTATCAAAGTATGTTCGTCCATGCTCATTAACTTTCACCTTTAAGAACTCTGTCTAATTTAACGTACATGTGTGAGCTAAAAGGGGGGGGGGGAGTGTCTTCACTTCTGAAAAATACGCAATTTGTGGTCTCCAAAATGTTCCCCTCACCCCGGTGTGTGCCCCACCTGTGCTGCACCTTTCAAGGCCTAAAAAAATCTCTTCACACCTGTTTCGATTAACTGTTCTATCGTTAGATAATTGTTCACCAGCTTGAGGTTATTTTTATATTGTTTACTTTATTTTTGGGGTTGGGTTTTTTAAAATACTTTTTTGGGTCTTGCTTCATTTTGTATTTGTTCTTTATGTTAACGGTACCTCTTTCTTGTTGTCGGGACACGGGCTTGTAAGATTAAGATACGAAATAGTTTCGTTGAGATACATCTAACGCCCCCCCCCCCTCATTTGACTCCGAAGCTGGTACATCATCCACTCTTGTACCCTAATGGAACCTCCTCCTTTGTGGTCGACACTGAATGAAATTTGCAAAGATAAACTGAATAGGTGACAACTGAGCTCCAGCTCTGGCATTACGAAGAATTATTACTCCTTTTTTTTTTATATTATGAGTAAACTTATCAATGCCATGCGGTTTTTTCGATTAGACTGCAGAAGAGAGAGAGAGAGAAAGAGAGAGAGAGAGAGAGAGAGAGAGAGAGAGAGAGAGAGAGAGAGAGAGAGAGAGAGATCTGATTCCCAGGGCACTTTGTTTAGAAATCAATTAGCTAAAAATTGAGTAAAGGCGCTTGGAAAGAAAGGATTTGGAGTCTCAAAAAAAAGATTTCTGCCCTGCACTCTTCCTCATGCTTGAAAAAAAAAATTGAACCAAACTGATCGAAGGACAAATGAATGATGGAAGGATGGATGGATGGATGGATGGATGGATGGATGGATGGATGGATGGATGGATGGATGGATGGATGGATCATTTGAATGCTAATTCAAAACGATCATGAGGCAATAACCACGAGGAGAGGGCGATATTTTAAATGATTTGCGTTCCCGTCACTTCATGGGGAACCTGGCCTTGTTTGTGCAAAGATAACGTCGGATATTCTATCGGTAAGATCAACAGGCTCAACCACAGCACCAATGGTCGTGTCGTCCGCACCTCTCTAAGTTTCACAACCGCAAGTTTTCCGTAGACAATCTGTGTAAATCTACAGTAGCTTCCCTTGTCTCATATGTGGTATCATTAAAATTGGCATCAGCCAAACAATGTATAATATAATATAGCCATAGATCGTGCTCTTATACGTTTAAGACAGGCGGTCTCTGATCCACTGCTGGGAACACTTTCCAATATGCTATTGTTTTTATTAGAGAAATGTGTTGTTTTGTTGGAGTTTTTTAAAATAGAATTACCAAAAGCATCATAGTTAGGAAAACAACCAACCCTTTGAGAATCGCTTTGACCTACCAGGAGAACTTAACGAATAGAACGTGCTACACCCATGATTCCATAGGGCAATTATTACAGAGTGTTTTTATCATACAAGGCAACGTCACCTCCAGAGAAGAACCCATTGATGAATTTGAGGTGAAGGTCGCCGGTTCGGGTTCAAGAACGGATGCATCTTCACCTATGCCTTCATCGGAATGTATTTCCCCTTTCTGCTGTGACATGCTCTCTAGAATAACATGGGAGGAATTCCCATCCACTCTCGCCCCTATGGCAATACTAAATTACTAACAGACAGTACTGGAAAGATCAGGAGTTCACGCACACCAGTTTCAATGCCCATACGACGCAAATGGAATCCTTTCTCCTGTAATAAAATAGGCGGCGGATCATGAATAAAAAAGTTCACTAGAGCCTGGAAGGAAGGGCAAAAAGTCAATTTCTGTTTAAATATAAAAGTCTCTGCATGACGTACATGACGTCCGCAGAACCTGAAACAAAACAGCATAAGACAGCAGCCAAATGAAAGTCACGGATAGTCTCCGTATGAAAGATAAAAAAAAGACGGACAGAGAAAGAGAGACAGAGGGAGAGACACACAGAGAGACACACACAGACACACACACACACAGAGAGAGAGAGAGAGAGAGAGAGAGAGAGAGAGAGAGAGGGGGGGGGGAGCGGATGGGAAGGGAGAAAATGA